AGAGGGGGCAAAATACCCAAAATATCCAAAATGTTCCAAAAAATACCCTCTAAAATTAAAAAAAAAAAATTTGAGGGTGGGCATTTGCCCCCCCTCACTTGAATGTCGGTGGACGTTTTTTGGCGGAGGAGACCGACATGATCATTCTTTGACTGTTCTATCAAGAACAGTGGTTATCTTTTGTTTTGTAAAATCTGGACTAAGGGGGTGATTGTTAGGTATTAATCCTAGATTTAGGTTTGCTTTTGTGTAGCTATTTGTATAGCTTTAAGTGTTGCTCTTTGTATGACTTTTTAGCCTATATATAAGAGGTCTTTAGGCTTGTAATAAAGAAGCCACAGGAAATAAAGATTTTCATAATTTTTTGGCTCACCGCCTCCTCCCTCTCCCCTCTCCCTCCTCCTCCTCTTGCAAGATTCATGAGGAAGTGCTTCTTCCTCAAGTAAAGGGATCTCACAGTACGAGTGTTGGGTCTTTAGTGAATTTTACATACTTACATAGGGAGAAGATTATGGCTTCATTTGGCACAGTGTTCTTAATGTTTTTTGAAACTTTGGATATTCTCATTGTAAATGATTATTTTCATCTATTTTTAAAAATATAGGATGTGGACACATCTATATAATATTTTTATTTTAAAAAATAAATTATATAAATAGGAATTAAATTTATAGAATAAAATTTTAATTTTAACTTTTTAAAGAATGAATAGAAAAATAAAGCAAAGATGAAAAATAAAATTAAATTTAAATGATTATTAAATAATTTATATAATACATTTTAAAATAAAAGAAAAAAAATCTTAACTTAAGTTATTTCTATAATACATTTTTTAAATTAAATTTATTATCTATGATATATATGTCTATTAATCATTTTTATTTTTCTTAATTGCATATAATAATGATGTATTCATATTATGCATTTATCTGATATTATATATATATTTTTTTAAAAATTCGGTATATTATAATCATCTAAAAAATCAACCTGAGGTGGATCAGATCTATCTTCATTTTTTTTTTGCTTTTACTGATGAACCTTTTTCACTTTTCCATGAGAAGATAGCAGCAATCAATTACATAGGACAGGGAACAAGAGTAAAGAGTGCTGGGGTAACGTGGATCTCATATTACACTTTATTTTCAGTCCATACGAGAATGATGATGCTCTCTTTGCATTAAATCAATAAGTCCTCACAATTGAATTTCAATTTTGTTCTATAAAAATATGCCAAATATTGTCAATCATTTCAATTTTACAATTAAGATATATTTGTTAGTTCTTTGTGAAATATGGGTGTGTTGATCAATCAAATTGTATTATTATCTCGAATCTCAATTCTGTTGGGGTTGGTAGAGCGTTGTTGTGCTTCAAACCCTTACATTGCAACACCATCAGTTAGATTGGAGACAAAGAGGGGAATGTTATGATGCTCCAAATCAGACACCGGGATGCTTCAAGTTAGGTTGGGTAGTTTTCCTTCATACTTTTCATGTTTAATTTGAATGATTATGTCTCTTGAATGATTTTATGCGCCTCTCTTTATCCATTATGTGTAGAATGGTGTACAAGTAAAGTGTGACAGCAAAAAAGTGAGTGAGTGAGAGAGAGAGAGAGAGAGAGATATGTACATTTTCTACCAATTTTTATAGAGAATTTCTTGGTGTGATGTGACTGTGATTTTTTTGCAGTTTTAATTTTTTTCACGTCAAATCCTAATATTCTTTCTTCAGCTGCATTTTCTATTTCTTATTTGTGTTCGTTGAGTGTTTTACTTCCCCAAGACTATTTATTATTTATGATGCTCCAAATCAGACACCGGGATGCTTCAAGTTAGGATGGGTAGTTTTCCTTCATATTTTTCACGTTTAATTTAAATGATTATGTCTCTTGAATGATTTTATGCGCATCTCTTTATCCATTGTGTAGAATGGTGTAAAAGTAAAGTGTGACAGCAAAAAAGTGTGTGTGAGAGAGAGAGAGAGAGCGAGATATGTACATTTTTTTTTCAATTTTTTATAGCGAATTTCTTGGTGTGATGTAATTGTGATTTTATCTCAATTTTAATTTTTTCCACGTTAAATCCTAATATTCTTTCTTCTGCTGCATTTTCTATTTCTTATTTATGTTCGTTGAGTGTTTTACTTCCCCAACACTATTTATTATTTATAAAGAATTTGATATATTATAATTTAATTTATTTATTTTGAGCAAATTGATTTTACATTAAGGATACAATTCTTTTAGTTATTATCATAAACTGAGCATTAGCTAAAAAAATTAGACAGAAATAAGAGAATTGTCTTGTTGTTTACTATAAGCTTGCCTGACGCAAACGTTTGGGGAAGATTTTTTTTTTTTTTTAATGAAGACTGAAATATCATTAAATTCTTTATAAAGATTTATATGCTCCATCACAAATATTTATGTAAAATCATCCTAATCTGGGGGTAATTTATACTTCATAGAAAATTAACATGTAATTGATAAATTTGTATTGAAGAATGCTTGAAGGTATTATACTTGCAAGATCACTTAGCACTAATAATGAAGCATGGTTGACTGGTAAATTATTTTTCACATAATAATAAGTTTTTCTTGAGCAAAAACATATCGCAATTATGGGATTGAAAGCAGGTTGGAAGACTTAGAGCATACAAAAAGATGTTATATTTACCTGTTTTAAGTCTTAAGAGTAAGTTATTATAGGTCACCATGGTGGAGATGCATTCATCAGTGAAGAGTGTATTTTTTTGTCAATTATTATTGTTGTTCAATTCATTGATTTTATCATTTTAATGAAATATAAGACTTTGTTTTGAATTATGTCTTATCAATTTTTTCATATCACCCTCAAAAGAGAGGTTAGTTTAACAAACGGGTTAGATTTAGGTCATGAATTCTGACCTGTGTTTATTAAACAGGTTAGGTTCAGGTTGACCCGTCAATCTTATTTTAACTTGAAATTGAGCTGTTTAATATTTTTCTTAATTTCTTTTATTTATTTGTGTAATATTTTTATTTTTTATCTATTAATCTAGAATTTATGATTAGTAAGTTAATTAAAATATATATTTTTTAAAATTAAATGGATTATCAGGTTGGGTTCGGGTTGTCAGCAGGTCCAGTTCAGATTCAATTTTAATTTAGACCCGTTTATTAAATGGGATTGGTTTCACTTGACCTGATTTGGGTCAGACCAATTTCATGTCAAATATAAATCCGATCCGTTGACTCATTTTGACGCTCCTATATTCTGGCATTGGATAATTGGTGGCTTGCTTTATAGGTGTCTTTGGGATGACCTTTTCATAATTTAATTTTAGAAATACTTGTCATGCTTATATTTAGCGGCAACTTTTTCTCCTTTTAAATAAATAAATAAATAAACTTTTTCTCCTTTTTTTTCAAAAAATTATGTGATGATAAAACTTTTTGCCACATGTGGTAGCTATAAAAAATTTCTTATTTTTGTTCAAAGAAAAAATTTATAATTCCCATTAGAATGTTAAAAATTTCTGCTTTTTCTCATTACAATGCCACAATTAATTTTATTGACTTATTTGGTTAGAAGGGTTTGCTTTCGCCTGTAATCCACTTCTGCCTTAGCCTTTAGTCCTAAGTGATCTTGCTTAGATTTATGATTTGCAAAATGAAGAAGCTGATACTGCACAAAAGATAACCTGCTTCAGTTGCTTTAATTGTAGACTTAGGCTTAATTTGGAATGGTTTTCTTATTGCTTCTTAATGCAGTTTTTTAGTACAAAATTAAAATTTTTTATTAAAAAACTGCTTTAAGAAACCGTTAAAAAGCTGTCCTAAATGAAGACTTTATTATTCATCCTCATCATCATATTTATTGAGATCCTTCTGTTTGATATAAAAGCAACAACGAAGCATGCATACAACTCCATAGTTGAAGGGATTATTGTTTTTTCTGTGGCAAATTTTGAAGTTAAGAAATTTTTTGAAGCACATCGAAGTGTCGCACATTTACATCTACTAAGGCATGATAACAAAAACAAAAGCTTACCAATTCAAAAAGTTATTAAAAGAAGTTGCCCCACAAAGTCAAGGAAAGTTCTTATTTGTATTAGTAGAGGTAGGCCATGAGATATACATGGGTTTGAGCTAGGAGAAATTATTCCGTGCGGAGTCCGGACCGGAAGAACCATCCGAATATTTTGTACACACTATTTGTACACAGTGTATACATTAATAGTTTTGATGATTCTTCCCGTTTGGACTCCGCACGGAATAATTTCTCTCGAGCGCTTTAGCTAGACCAAACAAAATGAAAAATTTGTAAATTTGATTCGAAAAATCCATTAAACGGGTGTTCTTTGCACTGCAGAAACCGTTCAGAGGAGTGAAAATAATACTGATCGGTTCTTCTTATATTATTTTCTTACATAACAACATATTAAAGTAAATGCTAACGTCCTTAAAATCTGAAAAAGGTATTCTGATCATGCATATCATATAAATCAGTACGTATAGCTAACAAAAGCTGACTTCAATTAATGAATCAGCACATGTAAAAAAACTCTTGTTTTTACAATTATTTCTTTATCCTGATAGCATATTTCATAAGGAAATTAAACAGTTACAATTACTAATGCTCAAAAACACAAGCTTTGCATTACAAACATGTTATAAGCTCAAAGAAATTTGCCATTGGATTTATTGGATGCTTGGAGATACGAAAGAAGGGCTTTGTTCTCTTGGCTGAGCAGAAGAGCTTTCTTTCTAAGCATCATATTCTCCTCCATGATGCATTTGTTCTTCAAGTAAAGCTTCAAGTTCATCATCTTCATCTTCTCTCCCTTCAAGCTTTGGCTTCTCTTCATTGACCTGTGAAATTCATCAGCTCCTTAGATTAGAATTTGAGGAATTAATAACCGTAGGTTAATACCTTCTCGTCATCGAAGAAGCTGCCTTTGAATTGAGGAAGCGTGTAAGCTTTGCCTTCTTTAAGAATCTCTTCAGCAGATGAGGAGAAGAGCGAACTCCGAAGGAGATTAACTGGGAAGAACACATGTTTGCTTTCTTGTTGAAGCTTGAGTTTTGAATGATAGAAGATAGATAGGATCTTAGGATGAAGGAGAATAACTATTATCATTTGGTATTTATAAAGATGGATGGAAGCTTAAATTAATGGTTTACTGACCAATAAGGTCGAATTTGCAGTGATAGACCCCACGTGAAAAAAATGTGGTTGAACATATCCTGCACTAAATTTAATGTAATAGATATTGTCATTAAATTTCTAAACATACCTTTTATATTTTGCAGGACCAAGATCAAGACATTAATAAATAGTTGTTCTTTGCAATGAATTGTTTTATAATTCAAGAATCATTATCTTGTATCACTGGAAATATTTAGCAAGAGAGTACTGTTAGACCGGTCCAGCCCATGGACTGGCTGACGGGCAACAGAGGCGAAAATCCTCTTTCTCTTGTACATGCTGATCGAACCGCCAGGATCAAAAGAGCAATTTAGGAATATTTTTTGAGGGAGTTGGCCGGAGAGAAATTTGAATGTAGGAACTGTTTAGAGATTTTCTTTTAGATTGTATGCATTAAGTAGTTTGTTTTCCTAGGGTTAGAGCATATGGAATTTGGTTGAAATTTGAGATCTCTTAGTTTTAGGTTTTTGGGCACTAGTGACTTATAGAGATTTGGGAGAGAAAGTTCCTCCTCTTTTATTGAGGATCAACTGTATCTTGCTATTTTTCATTTCCCTTTCATCAAATAATAAAACCATCTATTGTTTCGTGGTTTTGTGTGGATTTTTGAATATTTGAGATCTAGAAGCGTTTCTTATCAAAGATATTCTGCCAATTTTTTTCCATCCATGTAGGCAACTGACACATGTGCATACGCTATTTGGCAAGTTCTTGGGCAATCCTCGCAGGCTGCCTTATTAGATGGTCGATGCAACTATGGCTAACTAAAGAATTTGTAGGTTAGCTGATGAAAAAGTTTGTTGGCCTACCCAAAAGGCATTTTGATCAACTGAGGCATTTGCTGTCTAAAGGAGCAGAAGCAGATCCACTTGGCAACCTTCTTGGGCTCTATATTTGCGTAGGGCTAAAAGCTAGTTGGTTTGATAATGCCATGCTAACTGCATGTTAGCTTCTTGGACTCTATATATGATATCTAATATAATATTATATTGCATACACATATAATGATTGATGTTATTCATTTTTTAGATATAGTTATGGTTTAAGTTGTTCTAGTTGTTGCTTTAATAATCAAGAGAGAGGCAACAAAAATAAAGTGGAGAGAGGGGGGATTTTAGTGAGACAAATATAGTGTATTGTATTTTCATAACTGGGCTAATGGATTATTTATCTATATGCAACCATAGGTAAATTTTACTAAAACATGTAAAGTCCCTTATATTTTTTTATGGTGTTCTCCTTAAAGATTATTATTATATTATTATGATCATCATTGTTATTGTCTTTTCAAATAATTGGCACCATAACAAGGTTAGCTTTGAATTCTAAGGGAGAAATGAGACTACTAACATACTAATATGGGAAGGTGAGAATCAACCAATTTAATGAAAAGGACTTCAAGCATGCACTTGAAAATAAATGTAAAAGATTAGATGTGCCAAAAATTTGATGTCAATATCTTCAAATTAAAATCTTTTATAATAGGCTAATATAATTGTGATCTTTTGGATAAACATGCACTCTTAGTTACGCTGCGCCCCGACCTAAGTCTAGGAGTTATACATCGATCGCTAATAAAAAATATTTCCTTCAACATTCTACAGGATAAACATAAGAAGTAATAAGAACTCTAACAGATATACACAAGAAGCCTTTAGCAAAGAACAAAATATATCCAATCTAATCACAAGTTAATTGAGCTTGATTTATATGAACTTCGATGATAAAGTTCATGTATTAAGCTTCTTATCATTACTACAAAACATTTAGGTTAGACTTATGATAGTTATCAACAGCTCATGTTGGTTTATCAAGTTAAAGATCAATGATATCAAAAATATGATATTGAGTGAGGACTCTAGGAGGCAAAACTCAAACTCAATTAATAGTCCTTTTTATGCTACTCTAAATCTTAATATCAACAAAATAATTATAAAAGAGGAACAATAAAGATAAACCTAAATCTCATAATAATGCATGCTGATCGTATGATAAGATTAGTTGCTTAAAAATGGATTATCCACAAATATGATAGACAAAGCTTAAATCAGATGAAGGAATCTATGAATGCTACAAGTGAAAAGATTAATAACATGTAAGTTCTTAATGTGGATAGTCTTATGATGTCTTGGATCTTGGACTCAAGCTTGTCTCTTTATTGAACTCTTTTGTAATGTGAGAGTTGGTCATATGTAAATTAAAATTGATTATGGGACTATATAGAAGTTTTATAATGAGAGTCATATTCTAGGTTTAAAGAGATAACTTATATATAATGATATAATGAAATTATGAGGAAGTAAAGATTCATATCTAATTTATAATAGGAACGCTAGAAAGATGAGAGCCACTACTAAATCAAGTGATAGGAATTCTAAAAAAGGTAAATTATTGACAAGATTTTTATAAGGTCTGAGTTTCTAAAGGACAGGAGGACATTGTAATATAAATAATATATAAAGATCAAGAAGTAACATGAGCAAAAATCAAATGTTGTGATAAATGGTTATGGGTTTATTAGAGATGGGGTTGAGGCATTGTCAATCTTCAGTTAATCCTGATGATTGATTGAGAAAGGATGACACATAAGACTAATTCTCTCTCTCTCTCTCTCTCTCTCTCTCTCTCTCTCTCTCTATATAACACATTAGAAATTAATCTCAATATGAGAGATTATTAAAATACATGAAGTTTAATTTTCTCACATTTCTATCATGCAAGCTTTATTTCAAAGTTATTTTAAATCCAATTATATCTTGGGTAAATATTTCCTGAAATATAATTTTGATTTACAAGTTTCGTAGCTTTGAAACTCAAGATCAAATTTACATCATATTTAGCTTCATACTTATCATCTTTCGTTGCTCTATAAAAGGATATGAAATTAAAAGGTTGAAATGCAACACTAAGATTATAGATGCCATCAAGAGCAACAAGGACCTCTTTTCTTGGTTCAAGAGAAGAGGCCGTTTTTTAGCCAACAAGCTCATCGATTGAGAGCCTAAAATCAAGCATCAATAATAGCGCAATTGTCTCGATTGAAGATAAGATGGCCGATAATGATAAGATCATTACTAAGACCTACTATAAGGGGTGTTGAGTTCTTAGTAGCCAATGATCTTAACCTACAAAGGAGAGTAGTCAAAGTTGGAGTCATGGTGGATGATGGAGCTAGTAAGGAGAATGGCATTCAGTGGAGAGGGTAACCAATGGCTTTCGGAAAGATTGTGATTAATGTGAGGTGGATAACAACTAAAATAGTGAAGTAACACGAAGGAGCTTGGATATAGTGCAACTACTATTATTCATTTTTTAGATTTCTCCTATGATTTGGGTAATTTTGTTTTAATAATCAGTAAGATGTAATGAAAGATAAAGAGGTTTTAGAGAGCATTGAGAGAGAGAGAGAGAGAGAGAGAGAGAGAGAGAGAGAGAGATGCATTAGAGAATATTTGGGGTATGCAAAGGAATTATGTTTAATACTATCTCTAAAACAGTAAAGCAACTATGCCCTTGTGGCTGTGAACCATATAAACTATTTATTGTTCTTTTCTAAGGAAAATTCTCTTTATTTTTTTTTTCTTGTGATTAAGATTGCTCGTGCGTGCACATTTTCCCCTAAGTTTCTCTTCTGCCATCATAGGTTACACACAAATAAGAAATTAAATATTCGATACCTGTCAGGAACCTCCGTTAAAATAATTTGTTCAATTTCTGTATCTAGACTTACACATTTATATGAACAAGTAAAATAAAAATTAAAAACGTATTCCCAAATCTTTTTTTTGCACTTATCCGAAAACAAGCTTGCATAAATCCCAGTGCAAATAGTTGCATATGAGGCTTCACTCACACAAATTGGAGAAATTATTCTGTGAGGAGGTCGAACGGCAATAATCGTTCAGATTTGCTATACTTTAGCTGCACTTTTACAAATGCTCAACAAAAGGAAGCAAATATATATTCATAATTACACATTTACTGCCCATTAGCTACAAAATGATAGCAAATATTCAATTAGTATGATATTTGTTACGCTTTAACTACGCTTTTGTAAATACTCAGCAAAAGAACAACAAATTTGCATACATAATTGCATATTTGTTGCTCTTTTACTGAGTATTTTACAGAAGCACAATAAAAAATAGCTAAAACGCATCAAATATCTTACCAATTGAATATCTACTGCCCTTTTATTGTGTTTTTGCAAAAGGACAACAAAAGTTCATTCATAATTACATATTTGCTGCCCTTTTGTTGAATATTTGTAAAAATATAGCGAAGGACAATCCGGACAATTCTAGTCGTCAGATTTCCACAAAATAATTTCTTCACAAACTGGGAGTCTCAATGCCCAAATTAGTGCTTCCAAGCTCCTATTTTATTTAAATCAAACACGCAAAGCTGTACAATTGCTTGTATTAAACTGATTTCGAAGTACTTGCGTTGCTAATTTTCCACTAGTGATCATGATGGTACCGAAAAGCCTTCCACTGTGGATTCCCATATAATGATGGATGAGAGCAGTAGCTGACACTTGTTGGTTGCCTTCTCAACCCATTTGCCTATTTCAATTCTCATATAGCTCAATAAAAATTTATGATAACACTTACAAAGCTATATTGCCAAGCAATTTCGCAGTGCAAGAGAAGCGTCAACATTATCATAACAAAAGAAAAGAAAAAAGATACATCTCTGTGGAGGATTCACATATAATGATGGAATTTGAGAGTGATATTTTCACAAGGCCAATCCACCACAACAATATTCTTACTAGGAAAAGAAACAATAAGTTAGTTGCACAGCACAAAATTATAGTATTGAAATTGAACATTTTGAAAGCCATTGAACCTAAACTTAGATGGCTAACGATAATCATGCATAATTTGAACAAAGGCAAGCGTTGGAGAACACAGAAGAATAGGACCACTTTACTTTTTATGGGCAAGAGAATACATCTAGTCAACTAAGAAATGAAAACTTTCTCCCACCCACAATGCTTTTATAGTGCAGATTCTTGTATCTCATGCGTGTCTTTATAGAAAAATAAGCTTTGATGTATCCATTGGGGGAAAATATTCCATAGTTTTGGAGTGCTACTTGAGTGATAGAGGCATGCAAATGGATTATAGGAGAGAAAAAGTATACAGAAAATTAAATCAACAAGCCTAAGTGCCTGAGGCCACTTGTGCATGATCCATAATGAGAATATTAGACCATAGAATATTTATCCACCTCCCTCCTCTCCCTCTCTCTCTCTCTCTCTCTCTCTCTCTCTCTCTCTCTCTCTCTCTCTCTCACACACACACACACACATGGTGTGCAATGATGATGCATGGAAAAATTGGATAGGCAGAACCATCAAATATACCATCATCATTATGATCACCATAGGCTTCATTTGGGACGGCTTGTTTACTGCTTCTTAAAGCAGCTTCCTAGTATAAAAATTTAAACTTTTATACTAATAAGCTATTTTAAGAAGCAGTAAGAAAGCCATCTCAAACCACTTAAGGGCATCTCCAACCGAAAATCTCATTTTTCACGCCAAAATACAGCGAAACCAAAAAATGCCGTGTTTCATCTACAATCGAACGCCATTTTGCCGCTTAACCGTCGCTTTGGCGCCTTTCTTCCGGTTCGGCAGAGAAAAAAAATGGCGGATATGAACAGTGCGACGCCAATATTGACGTCGCACTGTTCATCCGCGATCAAATGGCGGCAAAAATGACGATCGGTTGGAGCAAAGCGAGAACGGCAAACAAGTGTTTGCCGTTCGGTTGGAGATGCCCTAAGTTTAGTTATATACCGCACTAGTTGTTCAACCATTAGGCATGCCATACTTCATAATATCAAGCCTGAATGTCACTAAGGTGGGTGGGCAGCCAAGGCAAAGGCCGGCAGCAGCGGCGGCAAGTAATGGAGGCGGTTGGTGATAGAGAACACATAGCAGTGGCAATACGACCGGATGCAGGAGGGATAGGTGAGTGCGTAGATTGGAAATTTTCCTTAATTTGAAATTAGCCAACATCACAAGATATTCCAAGTCCCCTATAAAAATGCTTTCTATTTGAATACTTCAAACCAAACACCAAAAAAAATAAAAATTTACCCTTTTTTTATTGAACACTCCGGATATTTGCAACAGACGACCCTTATTTAAAAAATTCGCAGAATAACAATTTCAACCTGGCATTATTACTGCTGAAGTTCTCAAAGGGTGGGCTGATCTGTATAGTTATAAGAGACACCACAACACGCCGTGATGGCTTTATCTTGGAGGAAGAGCACCCATACTAGTGCTTTCTGATGTCTTTTCTATCCTCTGAGCATATCTGAGCAGCTACAAGGTGGGATCAATGAAGAGTCTGGAGCTGCATACGAAATTAAACCAGTAGAAAATATTACAAATCCTTTTAAATAGGTGACCAAGAGGGTCCAATTATGCATGGATACAAACAAGAGTTCATGACACAAATACATTAGGTTTTGAATTGATTAGACAGTGGTGGTTTCAATGAGACTACACAATAGTTGACTATAGTTCCAAATCTGCCCTTCATATTCAATTTTTACGCTGTGAAAACAAGGAGAAATCAAAAAGTAAGAATCGCATCACTCTTAGGAAGAGTAAAATATTGTAATGATTAATTCATATTATAAAAGTTTCATCATAATACTGTGAAATAATAATTTCATTATAGAAAACATTTTAGATTTACCATTTTTCTAAATACAAACGGTTTCCTTGTGGTTGCTTGAGTTAAAGGGTAGCTATATTATAATATCATCCCTACTGATTATAGCCTATCCGAACTCCTTTTAAATCACCACCAATCTCCATATCACTGATTAAATTTAACTCTTTAAAAGTACATGTAATCCCGACTCATTTCCTTTGAAATTTTCCTGGGGCACAATAGCTGCTTCTGATCTATTTCATGGGCTGAAATTTCATACATTGGAGAAATTATTAGGTGCAGAGTGCAGACAGGAGAACCATCCGCACAAGTACTGGGTACCTAGTGGTACCGAGCTGGGTACCCACCAATGAGGTGATATGGTTTATTTTTATTGATCTCCGGATGCACTCCGCACCTAATAGTTTCTCCAGACATTCAACTTGGCCCGAGCAAAATGAATCAGCTCACTCAATAGGGGTGTGGAGCTCGGGCTAGCTTAGTTAAGTCTAGGAATTCTTGATCAAGAATAGCACAAATTAATGAAAAGCTTTATCGGATCCTGAACCGACAAAGTAGGACTTTCTATTGCAAGTCATTTTCACAAATTAGAAAAAAGGGGCTCTTGAAATAGTTTCTCGTCCTGCCATCCGCTTCCATTCTTTGCTCTTGCATGCTAAGGGCATCTGCAATTGTCCTTTTGCAGCAGCCGCAACCCTCCACCCAAACACAAAAAAGAAAAGCTTTTTTGCATCTGTGAACATCAATATTGGTTTCTCACTGTTTACAGAAAACACTTTTTTTGCATAAATGAAGATGAGAAAGAATCTATATGAAATATTCTTTTTTGGTGTTAAAATGGAGTTCGGTTGAAGATGAATTACTGTTTGATCTGGCTATTATGGTTGTGCAAACAATCACAGCGGAAACAAAATCACATAACACAATACAATTAACACGACGATTTACGTGGTTCGGCAAAGATGCCTACATCCACGGGGAGAGCATGATAATTCACTATATTGGAAAACAACAGGGAATTACAAAAGCTATCAAGCTTTTTCTCTTACTCTCATACATCCAATATAATAGCTTTCAAGCCCTATTTAAAGATCTGAAACAAACACAATAAGGAAATTCTACTCAATAAGAAATCTAATCATGTGTTAACCCACACACTAAAAGCATATGAAACAAGGAGAAATCGACAAATTAAATGACGTGCGCGTCGTCGCGGTGTATCTAGGGGTGTAAACTCCTCACGAGTTGAGCTACATCTAGGTGCCGCTCGGTACCTCTGGGTACCCATGCTGGAATGCATTTTTTTCTGATCAAATACATCATATTTTGCAGGGATATGTTCCAAAGATTAGCTTCCGTTGCAGAACATCAACATTCAGAGAAGTATGTGATCATTTGGTCGAAACATTTGGCCAAAACTTTGTGGATAGTTTGACGCAAAATCATCTTTATCATTTTCTTTTGATGTTACACACTACATACAAAATGTTCCGTTGGTTTTCAAGTTGTTGTCATTCTAGGATATTAAGAAGCAATGTTTTATCATTAAGGATAGGAAGTTACCATTTACTGCAGATGAAGTTTCTTTGATTTTAGGCCTGCCAACAAAGGAAACCATTTTGACTTGGGAAGCGCCCGAATCACGGGAAAATCAGCAAATGACATTAAGGAGATTCTTAATTCTGATGACTCAACTCCACTTCCCGATGTAGTGAAGAAATTCATCATTTTCTTGTTGTCAAACATTTTCTTTCCTCTACACAACTATCGAACACCAGCTACTATCCTCGGTGTACTCGTAATGTAGAAAAATTTTTATCTTACAATTGGCCAGAATCAATTAGAGATTTCCTTGTGGCTGACTTTGAAGCAATTGCGAAGAAGTTTAGAAATGGACAACCACTTGGACACTTGAATGGTTTTGTACAGATTATAATTATGAGTACATAAAACTATTTATTTGTATATGAATGATTTAGAATATTTTATTTTTCTTTTTATGCTCACATTCTTATGTTTTAGCTGCATATATGATTTCTAGATCACACTACAGTCCACAAACAGTGGATTCAAAGTCAAGACCATGTTTTCTTCGATGGGGTTGTGATATAATTTATAGCGAAGCAGAGGCTACTAGTTTATTTGAAGGTCTCGAAGATGTAGATATAATAATTTCTTTTGACGAAATAATCAATGAGAAAAGAACATTATTAGCAAGACCTCCCTCTCAGCCCCCACATGCATTTGTAGATCAAAGATCCACATCACTTGAAACATTCCCCAACTTACAACTCAAGAGGAAGTTGGGAGTATTTCCAATGGACGGTCGATATGAACTCCTTGATTATAGACTATTTATCGAGCATTTGAGTGCCTTAATGATGTTGGCATAATTTTTCTTTTTGTTTTGTCACTGTTACAATATATCCTTAATTGATTATTGCTACTTAGCTTTGCTATGTTTCTCTTGTTACTAGATGATGAATTTCTTTTGAAGAGGCAATGGCAATTATTGCTACTGAGGATAGTAGCTGGCGTTCGGTAGTTGCGCAGAGGAAAGAAAAGGTCTGACAACAAGAAAATGATGAAATTCTTCACTACATCGGGAAGTAGAGTTGAGTCATCTAAACTAAGAACCTCCTTCTTAATGTCATTTGCTTATTTTCCTGTGATTCGAACGCTTCCCAAGTCAAAATGGTTTCCTCTGTTCGGCAGGCCTAAAATCAAAGAAACTTCATCGGCAGTAAATGGTAACTTCTGATCCTTAATGATAAAGCATTGCTTCTTAATATCCAGAATAACAGCAACTTGAAACCAACATAACATTTTGTACGTAGTGTGACATCAAAAGAAAATAATGAAGATGATTTTGCCTCAAACTATTCACAAAATTTTGGCCAAATGTTTCAACCAAATGATCACATATTTTTCTAAATGTCAATGTTCTGCAATGGAAGCTAATCTTTGGAACATATCCCTGCAGAATATGATGTAGTTGATCAGAAAAAAATGCATTCCAATACTGGTATCCAGAGGTACTGAGCGGTACCGAGAGGTACAAATCAGGACCAACTGTTCACAATAGTTCCCAGAACGGTACCCAGTGCTTCACAGATGGTACACAACGGTACACACATACAAAACAGTATCCTCTTTATAGAAAATATAAAATAAAACCTTAACCACTTACCCTAAATGTGGTATTTACAGAACTAATGAAACTTACAATGCATTTCGAAACGAACAGAGGTACCCAGATGGGGTACCTCTGGGTACCCAGATGGGGTACCTCTGGGTACTCAGTGTACCCAAATAGGGTACCCAACAGTACCCAAACGGCGTACCCAGCAGTACCCAAACGACTTACAGAGCAAAACGGAGAGATACATACCAATACCCACTATATATTACAAAAACTCATATCCAATCCAACCCTAAACTATAAACATGATAAATACAAATGAGTATAGGTTACCCACCATGAAAAAACATACCTTCGCCATGTAGAAGATGAAGACTGAAGATGAAGTGGCTTCGTGTAGAAGATGAATATTGCTTGCAACTATTCCTCGTGGAGTAATGTAGAAAACCTAAACACCTGAATGTGCAAAACTGAAACGTTTCGGATCATTTTGAAAAATTGCAACAACATATACAAATTCAGTTTGGGACAGGTCATCGGGCCTGCAAGCGTTTTTATTTTTTTTATTTTTCATGAATAGGGTAGGTCGGGTCATCGGGCTGCACTGTAAAAAAAAACACGTGGTTATTAGAATGGTAGGGTAATGGTGGGTTCCACATGGCGCAATGTTACAGGGTGGCGGGAATAGAGCTACGTCCGCATTCCACACCCAATAAAAATTCCTCTTACGCACACAATTTTAGTTGATCGCATGGGGTTGTTTTCTCTAAACTGGGGACCTAACACAAATCTTGAGGTGGGGGTTCCCCATTAAAAGATAACCCATCTTAAAACACAAGGCTGCTTGTTGACATGTCATGCTCACGATGACTCCCTTGTATCGCACTTTTCTTCTTCAAGAAGTTTTAAACCTCATAAAGTAGTCAAAGGCGACAAGGCCCATACCGATAACTCCATCTAGATAAGTTAAAGGTACCTTAACATAAAATCTTTGTGATCATCTTCACCATCATCCCAATGTGCAATATATTGTAGTCTATTACTGCCAATACTAGTTTTGAGGGAAAAGAGCCTTCTTACCCCTAACAAGGCAAAAACTGAACTATGCCACCCATCATATGTCATTTTGAGACAATCTGATAGCTAGTCCATGTGACCATACATCCCACGATGAAATCTCAAAATATCAAGGTTCTGAAAATCAAATTGAACATTTAATTAGGAGGAAATATTGAAAGATTTAATTAGAATTTAATTAGGAGCATAATCGATGTGATAAACATTACTTAAATATGTAATAATATTATAAATATGTGACAAAAAATAAAGAGAATTACTTCTTCAAATACAAAATATAAATAAGAAATTTTAAATAACCTTTTTATTTAAGTGACTAATATATTTAATATAGCCACAAGAAAAACTTTAATAATTCTTTGAAAGCTTCTAATTCATTTCTTAAGATATTAATGCTCTAAACATGAATTGAATAATCAAGAAATAGTATCAAGTACAAAGATGTACAAGTAAA